ATCAGCGTAATGACCTACAAGTAAACGTGTCATATAACAACGTTATTCACTTATGGAAGAAATGAATTATTTCATTATCGTTACGTGGACTAAAATTGGCGTTTTTTTTCCAAACAAATAATCCAAAAGAATCCGCCCAACGATAGATCACGTTCTAATAAAACCAACAGTTAATACCATTTATATCAAACTAACCACTGTAGATCATTATTAAAACATATAAGCTTTGGTCAGATAGAACGAAAGATAGAAAACAATTACAAATAATTAACAGTCTTTTAAAAACAGGTAAAAGAGAAAACTGCAGCATTGACTGGGGAAATATATAGATAAAATAACTGAATAAGGTTCATAAAAGTTGGAGTTTAGAGAAAAAAAGATAACAACATATAATTATTGAATTTTATAGCTGGAATTGTTCGTCAAAAATTGAAGAATTGTACTGGCAGTAGACTCATGATGGGGAAAACGCAATCTAATAATAAAATAGTATTACAAAGATATTTATTAACTACAACTATAATATCATTAATCACTGGTTTACTTATTATTTTCATATTTTGCTGAAGATGGAATAAGTGTATTCCGAAACGTTCGAACTTTGTAAATAAAATGTTTTGTGTTCTGTCAATCGTATTGGTATTTATTATTGAAGAATTGTACTTTTTCTGTAATGGTATTATTTAGAAAAAGTAAAACTTTTACATGGAATTAATACTTGTAATGTGAAAAAGTTATATAATTAATATCTATTTATTATGTTTAAAATGTTCCTGAGAGAGAAAAAAAATAAGTTTTTTAAATTACCTGCCATCTAGTGATTGTAATACTGATGTGTAACACGTGATTGACAAGATGGTGTAAAGTGAGAGTTGCATCTTTTTGACTGTAAACTTTTGTTCTTATCTTAAATTAAGTTCGTTAAATTATAAAAGATGTAGCATATAAGTATATAAAAAGAAAATACAAAATTGTGTTCTATTTTTTAAAAGAAGATTTTGGAGAAATCGTCCGAAAAAGTGGAATATTTTTGATGAAAAAAATGTTCAGTACCATTACGATTGTTGAGTATTGATTTGAACTCGAAGCTTCTGTTTCGAAAAGTGAGATCAGAATATTGGCATTATTTTAAAGTTCTATTCTGTGGTTTATTAAGAGTGGCTAAAGCTTTTTAATAGTATTGTAGTGTAACTCTGTTCTTATAATGTAGTTCCTTTTGAAAAAGTTACCAAAGGTTTCATGCTATTCATTATTTATAGTTATACTTAAAACAATTTTGTTTACATCAAAAATTCAAATCATGTCCAGTGTCTCTTACAAACCACACTTATGTTTGTTATTTGTTTATAAATTATAGCATCATAACTGAAACCCGAAAATGATACTCGTATGACTTAGTAGTTATGGAGAATATCAATTTTTCTTGATACAACATAAAGCAGTAAGTTATAATTTTCCTATTATTAGTACAGAATAGTAAAAAGTGAACAGGCCATTGGTCTGACAGCCTTTATTTGTTATTATATAAAAACTATATATTATATTTATAAAGTACACTATGGCTTCCATACCTGTGGATCTTACTAGAGATGGGAAGATCTAGCATGTAACCTGATGTTATATGTATATTAAAATTTAACCAGTCTTTAATAAGTTGGGTTTATGTTAAGTAACTATGTATAAAGTGTACATGTAGCTACAAGTACAGCTACTTGATAGTAACAATATTTATTATAGGTAATGTATTCTTGATGGTAAAATTAAGTCATTGTGTGTATTTAAAGAAATATAAGAACTTCTGGTGTTTTCAGGTGAAGAAAGCCCTGTATGTTTTGATTCAGCACAACCAGGTGAAGTTCAAAGTGGGTTCTCGTGGTTTTTACAGTACACACCCTGCCGATAATGTTTTG